GTACAGGCACAGAGTGTTTAACTTGATGGAACAAGTTATGGGATTGAGGCCTAAATCTAAAAGCTGCACACTAATATTGCGCTCATATTATTTTCTTATAGTCTCTTATCTATCAAACCTCCTTTTCAAAGGCATTTGGATATTGAATTATTTTGTACTCACAATCAGGAGGCATTTTTTCTGTAAACAGCTTGTAATATTCTTTTAAAAGTTCTAAGTTTTCCTGGTTAATGTTTTCCTGCAAAGTGGTATCTCCAAACCTATGAAAAGAAGCACAGTAAAATGTGAAAATGAAAAAAAACCAAACCTAAACCAACCAAACAAAAAAAAACCCCAAAGCAAACCAAAGCCAAATTATCTTTCAGAATTATTTCTTTCCATAAAGAAATAACTTTGATTTTTTTATAGTGTTGCATGTACAAGATTTATCAAATGTACAGTTGCTAATCTGTCATGTGCTTTGGAACTAATATTTGGGAATGAGGTCATCACTCATGGATAATTCTTCCAAAAACTTACTACTTCCAGAAGTAATCCATTTAGACACAAACATTCAATAAAGCACATTCTTTTTCCCTTCACAAATCCTGAATAAATGCAAGGGCTATCTGCAGGAATTTCAAGTGGCACCACAGTCAGAGAACACCAGCTCCTCCATCTCTTCCTGCCGCTGTTACTTAGGTATATTAATTTCTGCCAGAACTGGACAACATTGAAGCCACACAAGATGGAAGAGATCGAAGTATCAGGAGGAAAATGTTCTGAAGAACTAATTTCTGCTCTGCTCTGAGAATACTTGCTATAAATAGTCAAATTGATTACTTCTCTGGGCCCTTTCTGCCCTACACTGCTCCTGAGCTGTTAGTTATCTTGGTTTCTCGTATCTGAAACCAGTGAGAACCATTTCTCCGCTGCTGAGCTGTGATTTCACCATTAAGCTTCGCAGAGTTGTGGCCTGCAGGCTAGCTGACCTCAGCCATCTGCGTTTGAGTTTGCTGCAGCACCCAGACCTCAGCAGCTGCTCTGCAGGGCTGCAGCTGGCTCAGACGGGGCTACTGGGGGTTTTTGCAGCAGTTGAGTCCACTGCAAACACATGACCCAAATCTTCATCATCCTGCACCTCACAAAAAGCCCAGAGCTTATCCACAAACTGACTATAGCTATGTGGGCAAATATATTTTTCTGTGACACCAAGATTTCTACAAGAGCTGAGTTTCACATAGGCTAAAAAACCCACAAACTTGGTAATTTAAAATGACAGATACCATTCTTTTGGGAGAGAAAATTCAACAGGTTGGTGAAACTTTGACTAATATTGTATTAATTAGTTTCCATCAGTCTTTTCAGAGGAGTAATATTAATACATCAGAATTTTAACATAAGCCTTCATGTTTCTATAAACATATTACTATTGTATTATTATTAACTACCACTTCTCAGTCTTGGAAAAAAGCCCTAAAAAGCTGAAATGAATGATATATTTCTAGCTTATGACTTGTCCAGCATCTTCAACACCCCTCTTAAAATAAGAATTGCAAATTTTCGAACTCATGTTTGAGAAGGCCAAAGTACTGCACACAAACAAACTTCTACATCTGTGAAATAGAAAACCATTTCATATCTGTATCCAAGGGAAACTTGGTGTTGACTGTGAGAAATAAAGCCCTGCATATGGTCATATCTTCACTTGGACTTCTTTATTATTTTGCATTGCTTCATAGCTTGGGCTTACTTCCTTTAATACTTCTTAAAGTACACACCGAGTCACTGTGAGGTGGTCCAAGAGCAAACAAAAGAAAAAGATTTCTTTTTAATCCTGAGAGCTATCTTGTACTAGCACAGCATACTTGAATCAAAAATGAAAAGTGATTTTTTTCTTACCTCTCTGCGAGTGTTTGCTGTTCATTGATTCCAACATTAAAGAGCACTGGATACATGCGAAGTAGCTTTCCTTCTTTAATCTCTTGTGGCAGCAACTCAAACATCTTTGCTGGAAGCTGGACCTCTATAACATAATGTTCACTAGGAAAAATAAAAGGAAGAATAAGGATGGGAATATAGATTGACTTGCTTGAAATGATAACCTTCCTAAATTATAGACAACACATACACTTAGAAATCAGTTACCCCCTTTTCCCCTTAATTGTATTGAACCATAAAACGTGACAATTCAACTGGCTTGTTTTAAGAACATACCAAAGCTATATGGAAAAAGGCAGGTGTATGTAATTATACACTCTTCATACTGACTACTGAAGTAAAAATAGGACTGAAGATGAAAGCAGTAAAAGAGTCTTCCGCTACCAAAATATCAATGAGAACACCTCAACTCTTAAAATACATCTTGCTGAGTTACAGAAGCAACTTCCTTTCAGAAGTCACGCCTTGATCCTGTATCCACTCTAAATGTACTATGGCCTGTGCAGAGCAAAAACCTGGCACAAAAACACAAAGTAAAATTCTCATTTTCTTCAGTGGCTGGATTTTCTCCCTGGGGATAGAAAGCATCACCAATAACGAAAGCGACCCTGTGAAAATAATAATTGAAGGCTCGTTACACAAAGACAGATCCTATTTTAGGAGAAGGGATGTGATATATAGCAGTTTTGGTTTTTTGTTAGTGTTTGGTCTGACTTTATGAAAAACATGTTACTTTGTCTGTCAGTCCAAATTCTGATCATGTGGAACCCTGATGCTGAATTACCTCTCTTTGGGGACTGATGCCTGAGCCTACAACAATGGCATGCTGTTAACTTAGTTTTTATTACCTTGCTTTCTGTTATGAGAGCAAACAAGCTAATTAAAAAAGAACAGATTAGAAGTATTCAAAGAATTCAAAGTACTGAAATCTGGAGGACTTGTTTTACATTAATTTACCAAAAATCTTACAGGTCCTATACTTTTACTTAAAAAGAAACAGGAATACAAGCAGTACATTTAGCACCCCATAGTTTCTCTCCTTTAAGGCTAGACTCATTGCAGAGATACTAGGTGATTTTGGCACGAGATGAGTAAGGCAGATATTACATTTTCCAACAAGGAAGAAAAATCAGTACCTAATTTTTAACACTTAAAATTTCTCTCAGGAAAACAGGGTGGAAAAATCCAGCATGTTTAAGAGAGCAAATAATAAATCATCATCTCTTTCAGAATGAATTGTATAAATTCAGGTATGAAATATTTAAAGGTATATTATTTCACTAAAACATGACTGCTTAAGAATATTCCTTTCTTTGGCTTTCTTTGCCTTATTCTCTAGTACTTTTTATCATCACATATGAAGACAGACAAACACTTGCAGTCCTATTAGAAGGCTTCTAACAGCTACTTGCAGTCAGCTGGAATCACACCTCTTCACTGCAATAAACACAAACCAAGACATTTACATGCACCTTTGCTTTGCGACAGAAAAAAAACCCCACCCATGGCCGGCCACTGCATTGTACATGGGAGGTGCTGTACCCAGCTCTACTAGGTGACAACTTCTGAGATCACTTCAGTGTGGCTGTAGGGGCTGCTCTGATTGCGGGCTTAGCTCAAAACATGGTATCAAACCCTGTGATGTCTCCAAGTTCATGTGCACAATCAAACACATTCTACCAAAGGATTTTATACAAGTCAGTGATAACTACTTTTGCCTATAACAAAAGAACATCAGTGCCTGAACAGAACTTCATTTCACCTGGATGGTCGGAGTCAGCCACCCACATCAGCAGGTTAGCACACTGCTGGCCAATGCCACGCTCTTTGGATTGATTTGTTCATGAACATAGAATCTCAGTCTTAAGCACTTCCCTAGAAAAACAATTACAAGTGAACACTCTGACTCTGCAAGATGAGAATTTGTAGCTTAATTTTGTCTTGCATTTCTACAGTATGCAAATCTCATTTTATCGAGCCACACCATAGAACAACAAATTATCTAAAAATTCAGGGTTTTTTAAACATTAATTAGAAAATTACTAGTTTTTCCACTCTCTTCTTTTTGTGGTTGACTTCCAGTGTTGTCTGATAGGAGCTGTCTGTCTCATCAAAGCTCTAACAGGAACAGGGCTTCTCCACATAAGCCTTAAGGATTTTTTTTTTTTTGTCCGATACAGGCTCCGTCCAGTGAACACCTAGCAGTAAGTACAGTACAGCAATCACAGGCAGTAACTTCTCTTCTTAAAGACGGACTACTCCATCAATCCAAAATGCCAGAGGCAGCTTAAAGCTCGAGCCTCTTTCAAACCGGGACCTCCTGGTGTGACAGTTCAGTGTACCGCAGTAATGGCAGCGAGCCAGTAAAATGTAGCTGCTGGTTTTTTCAAAATTTTCGACTTGTGTGATTTAGAAAGGATGTATTTCTTCTGTTTGATCCACACACCATAATTATCCTTAATTACTCCTGATGTGTTGTCTATCGTATTCTGGCCTTCCTGATACTTATTTCAATCCCTTCTCAGAAGGATGAGAGTGAATCATCCAGAATAATTAATCAAATCAGTAGTGAAAGCCCCCTTCAGAGGAAACATATATTTTCTAAAAGTTGCTGCTTTTAGCTGAATTTAATTTACAGTCATCTTAAAAATAATGATACTATTAATGAGGTGATTTCTGCAAAAGTCAAAACATTTGGAGCTTCAGACTAGAATAATAATGAAAATGAAAACCCCATTCTTCCTGTGTAACAATCTTGTTAACCCTCTTACAGCCACAACTAATGAAGTATTTCAGTTTATGTCCTGATATTCAGCAGTGCTTATGTGAGATGCATAATGTATACAAGGCTTTATACAAGGATTTCTGATGTTGTGTACATCCTGTGTTGATCTTCAGCAGCTAAGACAGGCTTCATTTTTCAGAAGTGACCACTAAGTTTTGGCATCTGAGTTTGCCAGTTTCCATCTTAAGACAATCAAGGCCCAACTCTTAGAATTGCGATTTGTCACACTGAAATACAAGTTCCAGACACCTCAAAAACAAGGTTTCTTCAGTTAGAGGCCACTTCTGTAACTACTGACCTTGTCACTTCTCTTTGATTCAGTATCTATAGATGAAAAATGCAACAGAAACTCTGTGCAACCCAGACACTGTTTCGATTAGTTTGTATTAATAATTGGAGCTTCCAGCTTTTCATCAGGAAAGTAACTCAGAGCCCATATAACTACCAGCTTTACAAATCCCTACTGCCTCATGACATCTCCATTCGCCTCATGAAAAGTAAAACTACTGCACTTTCCATACAATAGAACTCAGCAACAAAAAAACCATTCTCTAGATTTTCACATGCTACAGATTAAAACTATATGCCATGGGCTCCAGGAAACAAAGTTCTTACCGCCTTCCAGTTATAATAGGCAAAAAATCCTCTGATTTGGCTTCAATGACTTTAAACATCACTTTCTGCAAATCTGAAATTCCCACAGCCATGTCTTCTAGCATCCCTGCTTCTTCACCTATACGGAAAGATTAGAGAGATTATTAACAGAGTAGACAGATCAGTCACTGAATAGGTTATAGTAAAGCAATACGGGGATTATATTTTCCAGCCTGTGCATCTAAAAATCACAGCCCTAAATCCACATTAAAGTAACCTACATAAAAGCAGACTGATTTTTAGAACTGCTGACAATGCTGTGGCCTAAATGATGAGTATTAAGCACCTCTGAAAATCAGCCTGCTCTAAATGTGCATAGAATAACCTCAGAAAAACCACTTTTGTCTATTCTGAGTGTTTTTAAAGACTGTCCTGGTGATGGAGGACAAAGGTTTTGAGAATAACAACGAGTATCATGCAAAAGGGAGCCTGACAGCAATCTCCAAGTGAGGATCTGCAATTGCCTGTGCATTAAAGAGCTGCACAAGTGCTAAATCCCCCTACTTTGGTCAGAATCTCTAATCTGGGGAAGGATTTCAATACATCTAGTTCAAAGAATTTCAAAACATATGGCAGTTTCTCCCTCCAAATGTCCTTTTTAATACCTATCAAGTGATAGCATCTGTAACAAGTTAGGAATTAAACAGTTTTCCAGCTATTTTCACATCACCAGTACTGGCGTGGTCAGGGCAGCAGCTGATAGAGTCAAGTAACTATTTAAGTCTGCTGTTTGGGCTAGCTCTAAATACCTGCTGGTTTGGGTCAGGCCAAATGCTGATACAAATGGAGATAGCAGTTACTAAAACCAAAAGTTCCACTAGCTGTAGTGAGGAAGGAGTCTCCTGTATTTAAGACAATGTAGTTCAGCACTCTGCATGGAATAATTAGCAGCTAGTATTCTCAGAGGAACTGAGAATAAAAGAGTAATTTTTGGTGCAGAACTGACAACACAGGGTCAATGGTTTCAACTGTGCTATTACATGGAAGCCTACTGTCTCCTAAGGATAATATTTGTTGATTTAATAAAACAAATTACTGGCAGCAGAACAGAGGTTAAAACAAGAACCTCCTCGGTAAACTTCTGGTCTGGATGCATAAGGAACTTTGTTCAAGAACAATACTTACTATACGTACTAAGGAGTCCTTCATATTGCACAAGCAATCCAACAGTATGAAGCTGTTGTAAAAATCCTTGATCGTGTAAACCTGTGTGCAATTTGATTATAAACCCACAGACCAATCCAGCCAGCTACAAGGACAACGAAAAAATGTGAAATTAACAGCCGTAGTTAAAATGAGGCTTGCTTTCATTATACACAACAGAAATAATGTTTAGATTTGAGAAAACAGCATAGATATTTCTATTTAGTGACTACATACATAATTTCATATTAATATATTACTGAGGCATTTTTTGGTGTAGAAAGCAATGAACTATTCCCTTATTTTACATTAGAGAAGCTTCCTTTATTTGTGGGGTTGTGTGACCAGTGAGACCAGACCCTCCACTGGCAGGCTATAAACACATAAAGCTGTGACTTATGATGGATTTGACAGCCATTACACACCTAATGCAACTGAATCTCCTTGGCAGTTGCACCCGAACTCCTTAATTATGTTAGGAAAAACATGTAACTTAAGGGGGAAGAAATTTAGAGAAAAATCCATCTGGAAAACATGATCTACAGATCAAAAGAATTCCAGTAATTTACTAAGAGAAGACAAGTCTGTGAAGAGACATGCTAATAGTCTTCAAACATATAAAATACTGCTACAAATTGAAAACAATCTGTTCTTCATTTCCAAGGTCACCAGGAGGAAAAAAACCAAAACAACCTAGCTGGAACAGCAGCAAGGAATATTCGAGGCTAGTCTTGAGAACTTCACCTATGGGTGAGGAAACTCGCATATAATCTAGGAAGACTAAAAATAGCTTTATGGATCCTTCTTTTTCCAGTCCACTGCAGACCTACGTGTCTCACTCAGTGATAAAGTTACTATGGACTTCCATTTACTATTAATTTCTCTATCACATTATAAAATATTTAAATGGATGTAATGGAAAATACATGAACAAGTTGTGTTTAATTGAAAAAAGTAAAAAAAAAAAACCCCATCAACAAAAAAGAAAAACACTGGCATGAATAGTATGCTTAAACATAGCAACAGTAGGAGATAAGTGACACAAGACAACCTACTGCTTGACTAAAGACGATGTCTCTTCTGAGTGTCAGCATCAAACATTGTGGCAAACCACAGGCAAGTTCCTGGAGCAGAACAAACGCCATCGATTGCTTCGCCCTGGTTACCACCTCTCCCATGCAGTCCTTCAGCGTAATCACCAGGGGGTAAAGCTGTTCGTACCAGTCACCTAGATCAAGACAGATCACCAGTTCCAAAACAGGAAACTTGCAGTAAAAATCCTTTTCAGAATGGAGAGAGGGCTGCAGTGGCTGCATCGATCATCCTACAGGTTAGAACGACCCTGCAGCTCTACCCTAATCATTGTGGTACAGCAAACGCCACAGGAGAATCCGCTTAGGGACAGGACTCCGGTTTACCACAAAGACTACGGCTAAATCCTTGGCCTGAATCCAGCTATATCCTGAAACAATGACTTTTAAACAGACCTAACATCTCTGCTCATAAACACAGCGTACTGGGATACATCTGAAAACTCATTTAGCACAAGATTAATCATACAGTGGAGATGAAGATCTGTTCGTTCCAGCATTGACAACTCGCTCTCTAAGCAAATGAAGTGCCATCAAAAAAAAGGGCAGGAGCCTATATTTAAGAAAAAGTGGGTGCTGGAAGGCAAAACAGAAGAACAAATAGGTAACTGGAAAGATATTATCTGTTTAATGTATAGGCTGGGAAAATACTAACCTTCAGGTCAGACTCCTTTTTCTTTTTAGCTTCTCCCTATATTATTCTCTTTAAATATTTAGAGATATTAAACTCATTATTTTTTAGATACTTTGAGCAGAGAGATTTAGAACTATTTCGTAATATGTTTTGCTCTGTTAAAATACATGTTGAGGAATATCAGAAAAAACAGGCTGGTGAAATGCTTAAAAAATGGGACTGGTTAATACATTACAAATGAAATGAAGTGATAACCAGGAATGGAGGCAAATCAGAACAGCTTACTCAAACTTACCCAATTACCCAAAAGCTGTTCCTGAATTTCTCAGGATTCAATAAAATCAGACCTGCATTGTAGTTGCATATGGTTTTGCCTATCCCTCTAAGCTGAGCAAATAAAAAAAAAAAAAAGTCTGCATAATCTACATCTCAGTTACATTGTTAAAGCTTAAAATGAAAGAGAAATCAACACTCCAGAAGAATCTATATAAAAATAGGGAGTGTAACTGACTTAATACAGTCCATTGCTAACTCATATTTTCTGTAGATTGGTGTAATTAAGAATCAATGATAATTAAAATCTGTTCCATTTAGATTGCAATTAGGTGGCAAATAGCAGCACATTGTTTCAGGTAACATTCTGAGTCAGGCCAATGAAAGACTCATTAGCACTGAAGACATTCTTTACCCAGGAAGATATAGCTGCCTCTCACAAAGTCAATTTGGCTGTGCTCCAGAAAAACATGGAAATGAACAAAACTGCAGCCAAGAAGATTACAGAGCACTTTGAAAGCCAGTAGAAATTTCAAAAAGATAAGGTGCAGGAAGGAGGAAATAGGAGCAAGGACAGAGCAGTCGCAGAGAACAACTTGGGTTCCTTCGCAAACAACGTCTTTGTGGTCAGACAACGTGTATTTTAACACAGTCATACATATTTAAGTGTGAGTAATACAGACTGAAGAACCGTTCCCTGGAAAACAGCAGCTATGAAGTTAGAGCCATTGTGAACAAAACAGAACATAAGCCATTGCCAGTTTCATGCTCCAGCAGAAAGAGGTGATTTTATCCATGCCACTGACTACGAGAGAACCTATACACCACGTGCCAAGGTCTGGTGTACACGTTTTAAAGAGACTGCTGAAAAAAGTGAGAGCTTGCAGAGGAAAGCTACCAACATTTAGAGAATAATCTCCTTAACCCTATGAAAAAGGCTGAGCAGCAACTTGATTTCCCCTTTTCATGAGGAAAAATTAAAAAGTGTTAATGGGGGTGTTATTCTAGGGAATAAAAGCAAAAGGGCCAGCAAAGGCCAGAGGCTGCTGTGAGAGACAGTCAAATTTAGAAACAAGGTAAACAAGAAAGTGTGACATTCTGGAAGTCAGATTAGACAGACTAGACAATCTAAATTCTCCTTTCCAGTCTTAAATGATAATAATTTACTAAATTAATCAATAAATAAATGCCAAGGAAAGCAACTGCAGCAGAATGAGATGTAATACATACTAAACCAGTGAACAGGTTGTCTGTGAGAAGAATATAGTTTGTTGTCTGCTTCTGACTTGAGTAAATAATGAAGAAGATCATACCTGGACACCTAAAAATACACCTGAAAGTACAGTTAATAGACATCTGTCCCATTTCCATGGGAAAGCAGAGTTGCCAAGGATCTTGCAAGTCTTACGCTGACAGCCAGGGCAAGAGAGGAAAAGCTCAACGCCACACTTTGGGAACAAGCTGCACTTTGGGAACCTGCTGTTACAACATCAGGTTACATGGATAGGGCTACAGAGCTTTACTGACATTCTTTTTCATTAAAAAAGGGGTCACACATGGGCCACAAGTCACATAACACTTAGATCTTCTTCTACTGAGTTGCCACTTAACCAGTCAATCCGCACTGGGTATTTCTGCTTCTTTAGGAACATAACTTTGTACTTGTCCTCATTGAACTGGTTCCTACTATTTCAGTGCTCCATTTCATCAAGATCCTTTCTAATCCTGCTCCCACAGTGCTTAAAGCCTCTCCTCCCAGCTTTAAGCATCTGCAAATTTTATAAGCATCATTCATATTTCATAAGCCAAGTCAGTAATGAAAATATTGAATAATACTAGACCCAGAAATATATGAGTGGAGCCTACTTCATACAGCCTTCCAGGTTGGCAGTAAACAGCTGATAACTACCTTCTGTTAACATTTCCCAAATTATTTTGCACATACCTTATAGCAGCTTCAAGATAATTTTCTGACAAGAATTTTTGGGGGAGACTACGTGCTTGGAATACTACCTTACTAACATAAATAATTTTTGTTGGCAATAGTTACATTAATAAGGAATTAAAATATTTTACATTCTCAATACCATCTTTTCATTGAAGGACATTCATGCTAAATGTACCTACTGAGTATTCAATGTCCCAAAGAATACAGTGCTTTACTTACATACGTATTTTGCTTTGTAGCAAAAAATAAAAAATTAAAGTTTGTAGAAAACCCTACTCTAATGACTAAGGAAAGATAAATTATGATATAATATAAACAGAATTGTACTTGCCAGAAGGAAAGAAGATAAAACTCTAACCTCATGTGATTAAGTTATATGTAACAATCATCCACTTGCTTGCACTGAAAATTCTTGTTCACAATTAGTAAGGATGTCCAGTGCCCAGAAGGTGGAGCTAGTTAGCAAATCTAAAAGAGGGATTGCATTGTTTTTGAAAACAGAATATTTATGAATGGACTAGTATATTCTTATGTTTGTCCTTTTATTTTAAAACAAGTTTAGTGTGTTAAGATCAAGACGTGTATCAGACTGAGGTCTTAGAAGGGATAGCTCTAGGAAAAAATCTAGATAGCTGTTCAACCTTTCGTCTGTTAAAATTGCCATGTCACTTGTAATGCAGGATATCCTGTTGCAAATACTCTGCAAGAATATAAACCAGGGTCAAATACTGCAGCTTTTTAAGTTGCTCCTTGAAACTGAGAAGCATCGTGAAACTGAAGTTTATGAAACAAAAAAAGCATTGTATTTTGAAGCTTACAAGTAAATTCAGTAGAATTTGGAAAAGAAAATTATCTTTTATGCAAGAGCTGAATATGAAATATTAGTAAAATTCATAAAGAGACACTATTTGTAAAGGGAGCTTTAAAATCCTGATCTAAATTCAGGTTTAGATTATTCTGATTTATATTGCCACAACATTGTTGACATGCAAGGATACTGCTCGGTTACTAGTCACTGTTTACACATCTGAAGGAGTTTGGGAGAGATGCAAGATGCCCTACAACTCCTGCATGAGAAAACTGGCAGTCAGCTCAGAATCAGTTGTTGCTGTAAAGAAGACGCAAGCAGGTCAGCCATGCCTCAGGACCTCCGCTCCTACAGAGCCTGATGGCAGCTTTGCAGAATCATTTAGGGAAGGGAATAGTGCAGATCATTCCTGGGGTGTTTAATACATTCAATTACTTAAATATATGTTGACACCACAGTTCTAATTTATTTTAAGGTAAAACTGCCAGATTTGCATCTTGAACCCAGTGGAAAATCCTTTGAAGATGACTGAAGAACTAACTGAATGAGTAAACATCTCAAAAGAGACATTAGGAGCAAGAACATAAGCAACAAGACAACTACAGGGTGACTGTCAGGTTGCTGAAGTGACAAGGGCAGCCCGTCCTGTGTGGAATATTTAGCATCCAACAAAAGAGTCAGCAGGGTATATAAGCCAAACACATTAAAGTGAAAAATGGAAGAATGAAATTAAAAGTAGTATCACCACTCTGCAGTTAGTGTAAGATTAAAACAAAAAAGTATGTGCAGCACGAGCATTGAGTAATACTCCACTTCCATTGCTAACAGAGTTGTGGAAGTTGTTTATGACAGGATTTGCCCCTTGGGTGCTGGAAAGCACCCTGCAGTCCCACATTCTCTTAATCAACATGCCTGCACAGGCAAATGACCTGCTGAGCACCCAGCTAGTCATTTCTACATGCTCATACTCAAGCTGCAATATGTCAAGCCACATGTTAAATTTGATAAAGTTTGGCAGGAAAGCAAGCTCCCGCTCTTTTCAAAATCAGCCCACTGAAGTGCTTATTAACATGTGCTGGTAATCGAACAGGAAAAGCCCTGAGGCTTTGCAGTAGCACTTCTATCTCCTTTTGCTCTGGCAACAGAGAAAAAAGCCAATCCTGTTACTTCTGTCTGCACCACCTAAAAACCAGTGGAAATCTTTGATGGCTTCAAATCACCTCAAAATTTGCATGGTATTAAGCTAAAAACTAAACACAGAATTAAAAGCAGAAGAAGGCATAACATCGTACTCTTAAAGGAACAGAGGGCCCTAGAGAAGTATGGTAATGAATGTAACAGCAGCTACCTGCAACTTAACTTGTTACAGTAGCTAATCACTCATTCCCTTACTGCCTGGACAGACAAATAATCCATGATAGGAGAGAAATAATAGAGGTCAAGTACCATAAATGAGTTGTCTTGACATCACAAA